AATGAGGATGCATGGCACATCCGGTGGCGCAGTACCCACATGGAGTACTTGGTGTCGGACACGTCTGTGCTACATGGGTAAGAGGAGAGGTCATCCATATAAAGAAAGAAAGGAAGGAAGAAAGGGAAAGAGGAGCAACAGGAGGGTGCGGTGCGGAGCGGAGCGGCATGCCCTGACACCCTGTAACCCAACTTGTCAGTAATATTCAGTCAGCTAACATGTAACTCCGTTAGCTCTGCTCCACTCAGCCCCACTGTTCACAGGCCCACCCTCTATGTAACTATATATACATAACTTGTAGATAGGTTACACCCTAGTGATAAAATCGACTAGAGTTCCCCTCTTTTGGTTCTTGTTGCTGGTCAGTAAGTTAGGGCATGGACATGTAACTAGGCACAGCGCTCCTGGTCTAAGTCGCTGAGGCTGAAGCCCTCCACCATGGGGACATCTCCCTTGTCCCACACCTGGTCTCTGACAGTATTTTATCACTCCCTGACAGTACACATCTTGTTTGGCACCCAAAGTTCCCCACACTCGTTCACAACTACATACATTAGTTCCTAACTCAGCCTCCCCATCTCCCAAACCCTCGCAGCCTGGTCCTAGTCATCTGGCGAGAAACCCAGTTGAGTTCTGAAGCTTCTCTAATTTAGAAACCCCTCTCCCATCAACTCCGATCATGCACCCTGTTAGAAATCGATCACCAGTTGCAGATTCCGACTTCAGAGACACCACTGAACAACCCATAGATAGGGTTCCTAGCGGATCGGATAACACTTGGATATCCGCAGATTTATCTGAAAATCTGTGGATGCATATTTGGCTTTTGACAGGATAATATCCGCGGTTTCTAATCTGCGGATCTATTGTCGCTACTGTTCTAGATACCCCTCCTATGTTTCTATATTTTCTTCCAATTTTTTCAAGTCTTATTTGACCACCCAGGCCTGTTATTCCCAAATTAGGCATTTGACCTCCAAGGTTTCCACCATTCTCCCCATATTTCCATCAGTTCTCCACCAATATGGACAAATTTGGGATTGTTAGAAAGCTCTCGTCAAGGACAATTCTGACGAAATGCAACTTTGGAACATTTTATCTACAATCCGCAGTTGATCCGCATATCCGCAGATTTTTAACCACCAGATACGGATTTTATTTCAAACCTCTAAAAATCCACGGAATCTGATCCGGATCCGATCCAATCCAATCTGCTAGGAGCCATACCCATCGATCCAGTCCACTTCTTTGGACTCAGCTCTAAGGTCCCCGATTTCGTTGACCCTCCCCCTGATGACCCTCCTATCCCTACTGTTCCAGTCACTGACAACGCCGAGCCCATCCCCAACGTAGCTATTACACAGCTAGCCCAGGCTGTCGCCAGCTTGGCTCATCACACCAGTCGACCACCTCCTCCACCATCCTCTGCTCTCTGGACCAAGGTCCGTGAGCCCGAACAGTTCAACAGAAAAGACCCCTGTGAACTCCGAGTATTCCTGGTCCAGTGTGAACTGAATTTCCAGGACCACCCCCTTGCTCTTGCTAGTGATCACGCCAAGGTTATCTTCATGCAGTCCTACCTCAAGGGGATGGCTCTTGATTGGTTTGAGCTGGACCTACTGTTCAACCAAAATTCCTTACTTCATCCTCATTGGATGAATAACTACCAGGAGTTTGTCAATGAACTCCAGACCAACTTCGGTCCTCACGATCCTGTGGGCGATGCTGAAGTCCAACTCATGACCCTAGACATGAAGGATGGTCACCATATCAACAAGTACGTCATCAAGTTCAACCGACATGCGTCACAACTTCATGGTTATGGAGAAGCCATGCTCCGCCATTTTTTCTATAACAGATTGCCGGAACATATCAAAGATGACATTTCCAGGGTAGGGAAACCTTCTTCCCTTTCGGAACTTCGCACCTTATTACAGACTTTCGATGCATGCTATTGGGAGCATAAATCCGAAGTAACTCATCATGCAAAACCCTCCACCTCCAATGTCTCCAACAAGACCACTACCACTTCCTGCTCCAACACCGTCCCTTCCTCCTCCTCGTTCAGTCCCACTTCCAGTAGCAAGCCTCCAAAGGACAACAAGAAGTCCAAGGTGAGCTCTGCCAAGCCGGACCTCTCATCAAAACTCGGAGACAATGGCAAGCTCACGCCACAAGAGCATAAGCATCGTCTCAATGAGGAACTTTGCATGTTCTGTGGACAGTCTGGCCACATGGTCAAGGACTGCCCTAAGTCTTCTTCTTGCACATCTAAGGCCCACATGGCCCAGACTGAAGAGCAAGGATCTGCTTCCACAGAGGCAAAAAATTAGTCCACACCCCTGTGGACTCTGCACAGACTGGGGGTTGTGATTCTTCCCTCCATGCACTCAAAGAAGTATGCCTAAACACATCTTCCATTTCCGACTTGTCCTCCCTCCACATTCCCATCTCTTTCTCCCTTTCTAATGGTCTATTTCCTCCTCTCAATGTTGACCCTCCAGTTAATGTCCTACCTGTTGTAGATAGTGTTGCTGATGTTTCACCTTCTCCTCATCTTCCACCTCCGACTACTTCTGTAGATCATTCCACTTCTCTTCTCTTCTCTTCTCTTCTCTTCTCTTCTCTCTCTTCTCTTGTTCCTACTTCCCTGTCCAATGATAGGACAAAAAATAAACTCTTCCACACCTATGAGAACGTTCCCGCACTCATAGACTCTGGGTCTTCAGACTGCTTCATCAATGACAAATTCGTGAAGGAGCTGGCCCTGAAGACATATCAGATAAAACCTCTACAACTACGCCTTTTCGATGGTAGCACCAACTCCATCATAACCCATGCTGTTGATATCCCACTCCACTTCGCTTCCAGAATCATCACCCCCACGACTTTCTTTGTCACATCACTGGATGGATCTTGTTCTCTAGTCCTAGGACACAACTGGCTTACCTGCTACAATCCATTGATTGACTGGGTCTCAAGCAGTATTACATTCCGAACTCCCAAACTAACCAAGACAGTTACTCTGAGCTCTTCCCCATTGTCTCTGACACCACCGCCATTGTCCGACATCCAACCATCTGATGTTCCATTAGCACCTCAGCCCCAGGCTCCCATTCCTCTGGTACCATCTATTGAGTCCATCAACCATTCTGCATTTGCAAAAGCATGTTGACTTGAAGGATCGGTATCCTTCAGCCTGACCATCCCTTCTGAGGACAGCCACTTGAGGGCTGCCTCATCCCACACCGATTCTGTTGACCTCTCAGCCATTCCGAAGGAGTACCATGAGTTTTCAGATGTGTTCAGCAAGAGCAAAGCCTCAACGCTGGCACCACACCATGAGCATGACCTGAAGATCGACCTTGAGGAAGGCACTTCACCACCCTTGGGAACCATGTATTCCCTCTCTACTTCAGAACTCAAGGCTCTCCAGGCGTTCTTAGATGAGCACCTAGCCTCCGGGTTCATTTGTCCCGCTACTTCCACTCATGCAGCACCAGTCCTCTTCGTCTGCAAAAAGGATGGATCCCTCCATCTTTGCATTGACTTCCGAGGGCTGAATAAGATCACCAAGAAAGATCACTACCCACTTCCCCACATCTCAGACCTCCTTGATGCACCTAGCTGTGCCACTGTCTATACCAGACTCGACCTCCGGCACCACCTCTCTGGGTGACACTAAAGCGAGGACTGATCTAGAGGTCTTCTTACTGATCTTCTTGGTCATACTACTCCCTACTAGCTTGGGAGGGGCAAACTTGGTAGTTTCTAATCCAAGGGGAAAGGTAGATACATCCTCATGTACAGGTATATATGAGAAATGATCAAATAAAAATGATAAAAAAAATATGCGATGTGCCCCATGTGCTTAGGTGGACCATATGGGCAACAATCAATATTGGAAAAAGGGAGGGAAAACAATAATCAAGAAAACAATAAAGCAATAAATGGTATCTGACCAAAAATATCCAACTCTATCCATTGCCAATGAACTCCCACTAATCACGTATCCTAATACTCCTAAATGATGCGTTTCCAACGGTACCAATATCGTCCAAATGTCAGGGCACACCCACCTGACCCAGGTCCACCCAGACCCACCCAGCCACACCACACCCACTACCCCACTGTCCATCCCTCTCCTTCCTCCCTCCTCCCTCCTTCCCTCTTTCTTCTCTCTCTCTCTTCTCCTTTCTTTATTTCATTCTTCTCATCTTTCTCTTCCTGTTTATTCCTTCTATCTACATGGACCACTTTCCTTTGTATCAATGTACTATTGACCCATCCGGCCCAGACACCCTGGACAGCTTCCCACTGTGCCCAGCATGTGCACATGCAGCAGACGCTCTCGGGATCCCCCATGGGGACACCCAGATGGCTGCAGCTGTCTCCGAGGATGACATGGCACCCATCATGTGACTCAAGCCACATGTACATAAATGTACCTGAAGTGGGAACCGAATAACCTTCTTCTCACATTCTCCACTTCAGTCTGAGTGGCCAGGGACTGCTGTCCCTTTCCGGATCTGCCAGTACGTGTCAGGGCACACCCGCCTGACCCGGGTCCACCCGGACCCACCTGGCCACACCACACCCGCTCCCCGCTGTCTATCCCCCTCCCCCCTCCTTCCTCCCTCTCCTTCCCCTTTCTTTATTTCTTTCTTCACTTCTTTCTTCTCATCTTCCTCTTCCTGTTTATTTCTTTCTACAACAACTCGACTATTTCATCTGAGATCAGAGCAGCAGGGCCAAGGAAGTGGTCCCTTTTGCCACCCCAGAACTCAGCGTGGACTTGTTGCCTCCATCCAACAAGCCCTGCCTTGAGCCGCTTGTCAGTCTCGCCGTGGGTGTAATTGGTCATGACCTTCACTCGGTTTGGTCTCCTTGATCTCTTTGGTGGGGAGTCGAGCGCATTCATCCCTTCAGTTCGCTTGGGATTGCAGAGGTCACAACAGGAGAGGCAGGGAGGCGGAGTGCAATGCAGACAGCAAAAGGGTTCAGGCCCTGAAAGCCCCATGTGAGGAAGACTCGTGATGCAGTTCAATGTTGTCACTCACTGAGTCGTACGTTATCATAGACATGATCCAGGACTTTTCGCCTGCACCCACGTTGAGGATGGCTCTCTGGGAGCATGTCAGCATACAGAAATTCTGCAACCGAGCTCTCGATATTCTCATACTTCGAGTGGCGGCCGCTTTTGTGTGGTTTGGACGACTTTGTTTTGTCACCCCGAGGTATCTGTGCCCCTTCGGGATTGGTTGGGCCATCAAAAGGATAATCCATTAGGTTCTCCTCTTCGTTGCTCTCAGCGCCATCATCATCATCGTCATCCTGAAATTCCTCATCTGTCCTCTGTGCATTGACTGATCGGACTTCTGGGAGAGGAAGGTCTACAAGTGCGTCAGAAGGGGGGCCATGGGGCTGAGAGTAGGGGAAGTTCCCCTGATCTCCCAGTGCAGCGCGCTTCCGTGCAACACTACTCACCGGGCCATTTTTGCATTTCAGATTGGGACGCAGTGAGGCTTCAAGATCGGCCTTTCTCTTATCAACTCTTGGCTTTGAGAAATAAGCCTTCTCTGCAATCAAGATGGCAATCGCTTGGATGGAGCCGTCACGACCTGCCCGACCGAAGTGCTGAACAAGTGTATCGGGGCTCTTGGGAACTCGCCACTGAACCACAACTTTCACTTGGCATAAGTCAAGACCCTAAGTAAGTGTCATTAGCATTCATTGGATGCATAGCAAGGGTTTGTCTCACCATACCGCAGGCATCTGTACAGCAAATCCCCATATTTTTCCCAATTTATACTTCGCTTCAACGTCCACTTTGAACGTGTCTGACATTCCAGAATGATACCACACAACCCGATCTCGGTGACTCTGTGGCAAGCGAGATCGCAAGAATCTGGCAGTTCGTATTGTATCAACGCAAGAATTGCAGTATACCAAGAATGGTGAGATATTATCCATGCCTGATCATCTACCTTTGCATCCAGTGGAAGCAGGAAAGCCAGATCAAAACAGCTTTGGAGTGTAAACTTCATTGGGCAGACGGAAAGGTGAACATTCGGTCTATCATTCGATCTTCAGATGATTTCAGTGCCACAGTGCAAACCGGAAATCTTCAGCATGTCTGTTAGAACATGCTGGCGGAGGGTGGCAGAGGTGAAGAAGAATGAGATGCTATCTCCGAGTATGGAGAATAGTCGTCCTATCTGTATGTAAGCAGATCTGAAGTCTCGGCCCCACTGACTGATACAATGTGCTTTGTCAAAGCAGATACGGTCAACCTTCTTCTGAAATTGGGGGTCAAGCCAAAGAGCCATGAAATGTGGATCCACTATCAGTTTGGGTGATATGACAACTGTACGGAACTTCCCCAGCCGAATATCCTAGGTGAACCCATATGAGCGCTGACTGAAAACCTTGGTTGATTGTCTTACTTTAACCAGTCCAGGCTTTTCACCAAGCAGTTTTGCGGTGATTGACACAGATGGAAACCCTTTCTTGATGGACTCATTGGACAGCTGGCTTCCAAGACTCTTTAGTGGAGTCACTATGAAAGTAATCCCCTTTTCACGCAACATAGGCAACCAAAAGGTCATTGTTTTTCCTGAACCTGTTGCCGAGATTGACACAACATTTCTCTTGGCTAGTAAGCTTAATGCTACCATACACTGCCAAATGCAAGCGTGAACATGGAACTGGGTTTCGCTTTCATCCTGGAGCCCCTTGATATCTGACCCTATGGAGGGAAGAGCGGTGGGTGTCATAAATGGATCGTGGCTTGGGATTATTGATTGTCCAGGGAATGCCGAGTCAATGGGTTCCCGCGCTTGTCACCTCTGCCCGCCCAATCCCATACCACTAGAGTTGTGAGTGTCTTTGAATGCTACAGGGCATCAAAGTCACTAATTGTTAACCCCATTCCTCTGGGCTCGTCATGTGCCAGATCCCTTTCGATGGGACTGTCCTCATCATGGTCATCATTATCCTCCCTGTGAGCTTCTTCTCCACCTACATATGATTGGGCCCCTTTGAGAAGAACATTGAGAACTTCTATTTTAACCATAGTATGTGGTCCTCTTATTCGCTCTTGAAGCATTTGAAGCATGACTTCCATTTTTGCCGGGGCATGTTGTGTACCCCGGTGCTTGATATAGAAGTTCTGTTCTATATTGACATGTACCATTCGGTAGGTCTCTATCAGCGAAGACTGGTTGATAATGTGGGTAAGTGTCCTGTTCGAGCTTGAGCCACCAATGATGACCTGAGGTAAGTGAGTCACTGTCTGACTGAGAATATGCGGGTTCACCTGCCTTTGTATACAGATTGTTTCGCTCAACAAGCCAATCTACACCTCTAAATCCATCTGGTCGACCTGATGGATTGCATACCCAGTGGGATCGGATTACTTGGGCCAGGCGGGCAGGGTAGACTGAATGCAGATTGCGAAGAAATTTCGTGAGGTGTGCCGCATATTTATGCTTCCCACAGCCTGAGAACATCAGCACCCATAACCACAGAAGATCCTCCATCGTGCCTATCACGCCAGTGTTCATTGCATGTGCCAACATGCAGTACCACAGGCCATCACGTTGAAATAGTAAGTTGCCTTCTTCCAAATAATCTCGTGGATCCTCACTCTGTCGTCGCACCTTGGATATCCATCCTGCAATCTTCTCCTGACAGATCTTCTTTGAAAGAGCAACAATTTCCGACCATGATGGATCACTGTCGGTGAATTCCTTCAAGTCAGAGAAACCAGTAGCTTGTTCCCAACAAACCAGCAAGTGTGAACTTGTGAGGTGTAGGATTCCATCATTCAGCATGCGGTAAGTTGGGTTACTTGCAAGTTTCGATGAGTCTTTCGGCCAGAGGATCTTGAACTGATCAAAGATGCCACCCCTGACTTCACATAGTGCCTTCGGCTGAATGTGAACTCACCAGATGGCATCTACACAGGCCATACGAATATGGAAGCCACCAGGTATAGTCACAAGGAACTGGAGTCGTTCCTGTGGTGTGGATTCAATCGCACGTGACTCTGTTGTCGCATCGTGCCTTTCTTGCATACCCAGGTCACCATGACACAGCCGGATGAAGGAATGGTACCATTCTGGGCTTGTTCCAGCCTGCTGTTCAAGGCTCTTCACTATCGCAATATTATCATCGTTCACTGATGCCTTCAGGTGCATTGCTCGAGCAGGGTACTGCACCGTCTTCTCTGGTACGTCCAATGTAAATGAGGATGGCATCTTTCCAAGCTCACCCTTGTATTGCCCAAGGTAGTTATCGACAATTATCTTCTGTGTAAACCATTCCATTCCTTGCAGCACACTGTCCTGCCGCTCTTGGATGCGCTCAAAGAGATATTGTCGGTCAGGTGTGGCAGGAGGTCTCGAGTCCTTGGGATTATCTGGATTAAGGGAGCTCTTCTCCCAAAGCTCCTTCGAGTATCGGAGGTCATCAAGTGTGGTACCATAGGTGAGTGGAATAAAGGTGGCTGTTGTTATACTTGAAAACGTCCCTTGGTTCTGATCACCGGGCTCTTTCGTCTTAAAGTCAAAGTCCAGATTGTCATATGCCATCGCATACAACCCGGGGTCTGAGAGCTTCTTCAAGCTTGCTTTGAGGCTTTCGGTCACTGACTGAACCATATGGCAGATAGACTCCGCCGATAGACTCCACCCTCCACGTGAGAGTACTTCAATGACTCGCCTTGGTGTGTTTGTGGAGTCAAGGAAGAAGCCTTGAATGGCTTGGAATGCATTGCATCTTTGGCTTGAACTGTTTGCCAAGATCGAAAGGATCGCGACCCCTTTCTGTGTGCGCCGGTAAGTCATAAGTTTGATCCAGTATTGTTAACTCACTACTCTCAGAAGTGCCGTGTTACATCTTTTTGCTCGAGTACGACCATTCCTCTTGCTCTCTTCCTCACTGCTACTCTCACTATCGCTGTTGCTTTCACCTTCCCCAATCACATCATCGCCATCTGCCAACTCGCCAAGATCTACATTCGGGTCATGTTATGTCCGATAGTCAGCCACCTCTCTTGATGGCTTTGCATGTCGTCGTGCTTCTCCATTAGCATCAAGGAGCGACTGTACTAAGGCCCAAGTCTTCGGAGTCACACAACGGAATTTATTGATCATTTTCTCAAGGCTAAAGTTTGTTACATTGTCCACCGTTGCACTGTGGGCATTGAAGTGTAAGCCATGTATGCTCTGAATAACTGTCTTGATCTCATTAACATAGATCCTCTGAGACAGATCCAAAGCCCAATTCTCCACTGCGTTACCTGTCGCTTCAGTCCATAACCGGGGATCACGACTTTCTAGCAACACAATGAGAAAATTCGGTATCGTTTGCAGTGATGAGCTTTCAATTAGATTGATGATCTCAAGGAGTGCTTGTGACATCCAAGGTCAAGAACTAGATACAAAGTGTAGGATTGTTTTATAGATGCAACCCATCAATCATCTCCATTATCTGACGGAAAATATAATAAATATTGGTGTGATTATCGAGGCCAAAGAACTCGAGTTAAACAAACAATAACAACATATTGTGCCAGTCGCTTACGCAGTTTCGCTGTGCTGAAAAATTCGGATATACTTCAGCAAAACTCACCTGAGCGACTGGCACTGAGTCTGGTCATGACCGGGCTTTCGACTGGAGGCAAAAGAGAAAGCCCATCCGTGTTGCACTCGAGCACCGAGTTTTCCTTCTCTGGTTTTTTGTTGTCCACACCCCAAGTGAAAAAGGGTCCTCGCTTTGGCGGACCTGGTAACATTTCTTCAGCCACGCATTTTTTGCTGCTGGAGGCTGCGACTGTGGCCTCATCCTGCAACATCTTAGTCTGTCCAACAATTTGGATTCCAGTCCAATGTAACTGGAACGATCGGATTTCGCCTCTGGTCGTGTTTCGAGCCCGGGTGCTAGCAGGATAACAACTTAGTTATGCAAGAAATCCGCAGCGTGAAAAATTAGAGTGGACACTTACAAATGGAGAGAAACCATGCCAATGACCGCCATCCCATCCTTAAATATCATTTCGAGACCATCATGTGGCACATCTGCTCCCTCATCATTGAATGCATGAAGGTCAATATGGAATCTGAAGTCCCTTTGTACACTGGGAGCAGGGAGTGCACAGCGAAAGCGTCCTTCAGGATCCCATTGTGGCTCTGAAAATACGGAATGAGTAGCCTTGTTGGATGTGCTGGCAGCTGCATCGACATCTGCAATTGCAGAATCAGCCACATATTCAAGATTGCAATTTCTGCTACAGCAACCATAGTACGAACCAGATTCAAAAGCCAAGGACACATTCACTTTCTTACCCTCCTTCAGCGTGGAGGTGCAGTTTTCTAGAAACATTGGGTGAAGGATACGGATGTATGGAGAATTTTGTTCATCCAAGTAAGCCCATCCAAACTCGTTGTCCCGAATTTCAATCACATCCTCTGCATCATGTCAATTGAAGTTGATCAGTGTACAGGCAATCCATCACTCACCCTCACAGTGTACTCCCAAACCAGAAGCATTCTTAATTCGGTTCAATGCCCGGATTTGGTCAGCAAACAACTTTTTCACAGTTCGGGGTGCTGATGAAGGCATCCCTAAATGTATTTGGTATTTGGTTGCATTCACCTTCGATCGCTGACAAAAACTGTGAGTCAAAAGTGGGGAGAAGTTTGAAGCAGTGGAAAACACAGACCCCTTGTTTATGCCACATGTTAAAGGGTGCTGAACGTTGATTTCCATAAGGACCGAGCTCAGCGGTGCTGATGACACCGAAAACCATGAATTCTCCCAAGACATTAGGGGGTTTCACAATAGGCTAAAGTGGCACTAAACTGAAATGTAAACTGAACCTAAAGTGACCCAAGTTGAGGCACAGTTAAGAGTCCAGTTTATGTGTGAGTTGAGAAGCGCTCACGATTGACTGTCCCAAACCAGTCCCAAACTTGCTCAACGCTTGAGGCCACAGCTGGCTCCTTAATGCCGACATCACATGGCTCTAAATGAATTATGTAACAACCGCAAAGTCCATGCCCACCTCTGACCATCGACACATCATTGCTGCGGCTGTCCAACATGCCGAGCTCATTCAGAGGCGGTACTATATTCAACAACACCGACTCTTGATGGCATATGACGACAATCTTTCCGAGATTTCTTCTTCACAGTCTGGGCTCTCAGACAACAGCGATGCATCAAGCATGTCTAGCAGTTCAAGCAGCTCTACCTCTACCTCTACCTCTAGCTCCAGTGATTCTAATGGTGACAGCGGAACTTCCCCTGTGTCTTCCATATTCTCAGAGTCTGAAGCGGACACTGCGCATTTGCTGCTTCTTCTCCACAAGTCTTATATCCATTCTATTCATGTCAGGGCACACCCGCCTGACCCGGCCCCACCTAACCCACTGCCCCTCATCAGAGACTTCTCTGAGAAGGCCCGCCCACTTCATGCATTGACCCGGAAGACCAAAGTCTGGAACTGGGGCCCGGACAAGGACCATGCCTTCCACACCCTTAAGGAGGCTGTCACCACTGCCCCCGTCCTCTCCTTCCCCACCGATTCCGGCCACTTCAGGCTCGAGTGCGACGCCTCCAACTTCGCGACCGGTGCAGTCCTCTCTCAGCTTCAGTCAGATGGGGAGTTCCACCCAGTAGCGTTCATGTCCAAAAGCTTTACGGACGTGGAGTGCAACTACGAGGTATATGACAAGGAGATGCTCGCGATCGTCCGAGCCCTTGAAGAGTGGCGGCACTTCCTGGAGGGCGCCAAGGAGAGGGTTGAGATCTACATGGATCACCGCAACCTGGGGTACTTCCGCACAGCCCAGAGGCTAAACCGGCGCCAAGCACGGTGGTCCCTCTTCCTCTCCCGCTTCTATTTCACCCTCGTCCACCGCCCAGGGAAACTCATGGGGAAGCCAGATGCACTCTCACGACGCGCTGACCACCCGAAGGGGAAGGATGACAACGAGGGGCTGACACTCCTCCAACCCACCTGGTTTGAAGCCCAGGCAACAGAAGCGATCTCGGTAGAGGGAGAGGAGGCGGGGATCCTAGAGAGGATACGTGGAGCGAAGGAGCATGACGAGAGGGTGGTGAAAGCCATGCGGGAACTGGGAGAAGGGACCCTGAGGTCGGATGAATGGGAGAAGCAAGGAGAGTTAATCCTATACCGAGGAAAGGTGTATGTACCGAGAGACCAGCAACTCCGCCATGACCTGGTACGGTTGCACCACGATGCATGGGCAACGGGGCATCCGGGGCGATGGAACACCCTAGAACTCGTTTCCCATGACTACTGGTGGCCCCAGATGGCAGAGTATGTCGGGTGGTATGTACGCAGGTGTGATACCTGCAACCGAGTCAAACCTTTCCCCTCACAAAAGGTTGGGAAGCTCACCCCAAACAAAGTCCCCACCCACCGCTGGCAGATAATCTCAGTGGACATGGTAGGAGAGCTCCCAGAGCCGAAGGGGTACAATGCCATCCTGGTCATGGTGGACCGCTTGTCCAAACACATCCACGCAATCCCCACTGTAACGACGATAGACCCAGCGGGCATAGTGCAGCTCTTCCTAGAACACATCTGGAAGCATCACGGGCTCCCAGAGGAGATCCTCAGTGACAGAGGGAGTGCCTTCGTCTCCCACTTCTCAAGAGAGCTCGCAGACCTCCTTGGAGTCAAACTCACCCCTTCAACACCCTACCACCCCCAGACGAACAGACAAACCGAGCGGGTCAACCAAGAAATCGAAGCCTACCTCCGGGTGTTTGTCAACCACCACCGGGACGACTGGGCAGACTGGCTCCCGCTAGCGGAGTTCGCCTACAACAATTGCATCCACTCATCCACCCACCGGACCCCCTTCGAACTCGACACCAGGCAACACCCCAGGATGGGGACAGAACCCACCCATACGTCCGAAGTGGAGGCTGCTGATGCCTTTTCATCAAGGATGATGAAAATGCAGGAGGAGGCGAAGGCGGCGCTAGAACATGCAGCAGACGAGATGGCCCGCTATTACGATCGAGGCTGTGAAGCAGCCCCCAAGTACCAAGAGGGTGACCAAGTCTGGCTCAATGCCCAGAACTACACGACCGACCGCCCCACCAAGAAACTGGACCACAAATGGCTCGGCCCCTTCAAGATAGTCAAAGTCATCTCCCCTGCCGCTGTCAAACTCCAACTCACCGCACAACAGAAAGGGATCCACCCAGTCGTATCTGTAACAAACATCAGGCCCCACCACCCGGATGAAATTGCAGAACGACCCCTCGACCCCCGCCCAGGCCCAGAACTCGTAGATGGAGAAGAGGAGTACGAAGTTGAAAAGGTATTGGACTCCAAATGGCTACGCCGGAAACTCTGGTACCTGGTAAAATTCACGGGCTGGCCAAACTCGGAGAACCAGTGGCTCCAGCGGGACCACTTAACCCATGCTCCCGACCAAATTGAGGAATTCCACAGAATGCACCCCCAAGCCCCAGGGAGAGAGAGGGAGAACCACCTGGCCACTTTGAGGCGAAGCGGCTTAAGGAGGGGGTGATGTCAGGGCACACCCGCCTGACCCGGCCCCACCTAACCCACTGCCCCACCATCCGCTCCTCCCAACCTCCCCCCTCTTCCCCTTTTTCCCTTCCCTTTCTTCCTCCCCTTCTTTTCTATTCTCTTTCCCCTTTATTCCTTTCTTATCACACAGACGACTTCCTTTGTATCAATGTACCACTGACCCGGCTGCAGTGTAACGCACCTGAACCCGGACACACCGGACGACCCCCCGCACACCGGATGCTCCTAGGACCTCTTACGGAGGTACCT